AATGTCCTCCCGCAACCTTCTGCCAGTGAAAACGGAGCTCAGGAGGGCCGCACATGGCCCACCCAAGATCCGTTTTCACTGGCAGAAGGTTGCGGGAGGACATTGCAGCTTCCCAAGCACCATTTTTACTGGCAGAGGGACCACAAGCCAATCCTTCGCTGATTCCTGGGCGGCTCCACAGGCCAGGTCTAAGCACCCCGCGGGCCGGATGCGGCCCATGGGCCTTGAGTTTGACACCTCTGGTATAACAGTTTAAAATGGTTTGCCATAGTGAGCAAATTAGGTACCAGATGTTAATATAAAACTCACTTTCCAGTTGCATCCTCGCTTGAATTTTATAATGAATGCCTAGGGCGTACTGTACCAGCTTAGACAGAAGGAGTAGCGTTCTTGCTGAGAAAGAAAATGCATGCTTACAAATCTAAAGCTGCTGAAAACCCGCATTTGCAGTTTACCTGTAGGGTATCTGGTACTGCACATATGGTCCTATGAATTTGTGCATTTCTTTTTACTTTTTAAAAAAGCATAACATTTTCAGCATCCCCGTGTTTTTAGGTATATCCTTTGAAAACACTCTGTGCACAACTGAATGCGTCCCTTGTAATAGCGCTTGAAGGTACTCAAGATCACTTGCGAAAGTTCTTCTAGGATCTGAGATTGAGGCTAAAGTTTGGATGGCTAAGCTATTTGTTCATTTGCCAAAGGTCATAAATGTAGAAATGCTACCTGCTATTTGTACAAGGATAGCATAGGGGGAGGCTTAGTGGTTTGAGATGGGCTGAACAGAAAGCCAGCCTGAGTGGGTATCATGTCACCAGCAGTAGTTCATCATAAGCCACACTCTGTGTTTGGATCTCAACAGAAGAGAAACTAACAAAATGAACATGATAAAATTCTATTTTAGAATAACAAAAGCTTAGTTTCATCATTAGACGCAGTCTCTGCATTTATACATGTTGCTACTGATACAGTGGTACAGGCCATCCAGGCACTAGTTCTTACAGGATTTTAATTTTACTGTTTGTTGTGAGATGTAATTTACTGTCATATGGACATTGCTTTAATTATAACCCACGTAATATGAGTGAAAGTTCTAACTAAATTATTTTATTTGTTGGAGTGTATTTTACTTCTGTTCTTAGAGTAAATTAAAGCTGAAGCAGTGGCATAAAGCGTCGTCTGAGCAGGAGTGTGACATCAGTACATTTATATTCTTGTGGATGCTAATGAATTATTTTATTTATGGTGTTACATTTTGCCTACCTGATCCTTGAAATTGCATTTCTATTATGCAGTTTGTCCCTCATCCAAGAATGTTCCCCAAAGAACTATAGAATCAGCATTGTTACCAGCAGGATTTAAGTTAGTCAGGATAGGTACTCCTCGGTTATTGATAGAAATCAGCGTCTGCATCGCTAAGCAATGCAATCATAAAGTACAATGTCATGTGACAATGCCAACATGTGATAGTCTTATAAGTCCTAGTTGCCACCTAGGTGAATACTACAGTCACATGATTGCTTTTCTGACTCCCTAGCTTTAGTCTGGTGGGATTCATGTCAGACCTAAGCTCAAAGATAGATGACAAGGTGAATTGAAGACAAGTGACTTCCTTATTTGCTTATATACCTAATAGACAGATTCTTGCCAAAGTAAAACCACAACCATCTAACCTAATTGTCTATGGAGATTCTCAGTCATCCAGCTCATGGTTGTCTCAAAGGTGCTTTTTCAAGAGACAACTGGACTTTTTTTTCAGCTTCTTGGATGAGAAGGAAAATGTCTTCAAGGAAAAACCAGAAAGTGCAGTTGCCTCTTGAAAAAGTATCTTTGGGACTTCTAACCTAATAGACAATTAGGT